GTGATATATGTATTTTTATTATTCGATATTATTTAAAAGCCTGGTTTAGCTGTACTGAAGCGGCTAAAACTCTAGTTAACGATTTTAATTTTATAAAAAATTTTAAAATTGTACGAAAAAGAACAGCCGATCATTTTGAAAGCAGCTATAAACAAAATTTGTAACCACTTATAGTATTTAACCGAGGAAAATGCTGCTCTAGCATTTTTTGACGATACGATGCACAATGATATTAAAAAATTAATGATTGAATCGTTAAATAACGAACCAATAGCTAATATTTCTAAACGGTTTATTCTCACATCGAATGATATAACGGAATCTTTTTTAGGTAAATCGAATTAACTTTATGCCTTTTAGTTGATCATATATATAAAACTATATCATATATAAAACTCGCTTAAGACGCTCTCGCTTAAGACGCTTTCCCGCATAAGATGCCGTTTTTCATCGGTCCCTAGACATTTCCTATACTAGTTAATGTAAAAACCACCTGTTAAGACGCTCAAGTTTTCTCTGTCTAATCGGGTAAAACGCTCTTTTGTTCAGCATATTACGATAAATTTTAGTAGTTTTGTGAAATAAAAATAGAATTTTTAGTATTAAGTGCCGCTTGGGATGAAATTAAACCAGATGTAATAATAAACTGTTTTCGGAAAGCTGCATTTGGTGTGTTGAACAACTCTGAACAGGCAGATAGCTCACCTTTAAAAGAAGAGGACTTTCAACTTCTGCAAAATTTTGCGGATTATGCAACAATAGATGATGAACTCGTAACCAGTAGCACTCGGACTTTGGATGAAATAATCGTTGATACGAACTTAGTGGAGAATGAGAAAGAAGACGACGATCAAGAAGAAGAAGATCAAGACTTTCCAGTATCTACTCCTACAATTACTGCTAGTTTGCAACACCTATCGGAAATTCGGAAAGTATTATCCTCTGTTGAAAATTCCGAAGAAATGTTAGGTTGTCTTAATAAAATTGAAAACTTTCTTGCTGAAACGCATTGTCAGAACCTTAAACAATCAAAAATGGATAATTTTTTTAATAAACAATGTATTCCCCATTAAATTATGTTTAATAATAAAAAAATAAACACGATATTTCAATCACATCATTTTTTTTTTCATTCCCGCATAAGACGATTTCCCGCTTAAGAAGTTCTAGGGAGCTGGTCCCTTAAAGAGCGTCTTAAGCGAGTTTTACTGTAGTTTAATTATCATTTTTTTTTTTAGAAAAAATAGTGGCTTCTGTTTTGTCCAAAAATAGTATACAATTTTTTCATCGTTTTGGAATAAATACAGATTTTTTTAAATTGGATCCACTTTATTGGAGTGCTAATGATAGCTATTTACTTGCAAGAGAAATTGTTAATTTATTAAATATTGTGAATGACTCGACAAAGAGAGCAGTAAACCTCATGGCACTTTAACTGCTAACGATAAAAAGTCTGAATTACTATTGCATTGTGTCCAAGAACACAGACGACTTTACCCTAATTGTAATGACACGGACACGGTGTTGTCACCCGTTTGACACCCCGCGGTCGTGTCAGCTCCTTCTCAGCCACCGCTTCACTGTAAACCGGACCGTTACACACACGCGTTATCGTCGTGGTGTAAAATCCAATAAATGCCCAGCGTCGAATACCCGGCGCAATAATACATCAAGTAATTTATTAAAAATTAGAAAAAAATTTTAGAATTGAATTTTAGAAGAAAATAAAACTGGACTCACTTGAACAAATTCGTGATATTTTTTGGTATTAATGAAGAATAACGTAATTTCGATGTGCGATGTCTTAAACGCCTTAAACCCAATACTTTTTAAATAAAATATTTTTAACTTATAAAAAACGAAATAACTAAAAAATATGATTAATTTGAATTGTGATGCAGGAATAATAACATATTAACTTTTCGACTACTCAGCCTACAACATCGATCATTCAAAACTAGAAGGTGTTCATGGAATTCATTTATTTTCAAATTCATCAACAGTAAGTACAGGCAGCTGTAAATTACCACATGAATTAATATAAAAAACATAAAATTAAATAAAGCATTAAAAATAAAAAATAAAATAAAAAACTTTTTCATTAAGTATATATTTAAAAAAATGTATGAACTATAACTAATTATACTTTTGTACTTAAAATAATAAAATTAAATGTTATAAAAGAAGTTGTATGAATAAATCAATGATCATCTTGTTAATATTTTTCTAAAAATTTGAATATATTATGAAAAAAACAATTATTGTACAATTAGTGTCTGGTATATTTTGCAATCTCTAAAAATATGTCTCATTAACAGAAGACATTGTTATCCAATTATATAGAACTACAAATTAAAAAACGGTAGCACAGTGGGGTCGCGGCATAGTGGAGACATTGCATAGTTGGGTTCAGTCTAGATTTAATCTGACAGTGATTAAAATCACTATCATAAGAAACGCTTCGATGCAAATCTGTAGATAGTGTTTAATTTTAAAAAATTGTTGGATAATTGCAAAAGCAACATCAACTTCTATTAAAATAAAATACAAAACCCATAATTTTCATACAAAAATAGCATATTTTTGAATATGGTAGCCATTTGCGTATAGAAGATAGGTCGTCGGGACAAATTTTTTTTTTTCATTTTGTAGTACATAAAATAAGCTTTAATTTTATATATGTTTAAAGGACGCAGTATTTCCGGAACATTTTCAAAAATTAAGTTGAAAAAGTTATTTTTTGTAAAAAAGTTACTATTTTAAATCCTCCCAGTGAGCAGAATAAGTGTTAGATTTTCAAAAAAAATTATATCAAATGAAAGGGAAATATCTAAGGTTTCAATACAAAAAAATATTATTTTTATTTGTTCATTTTTGAAAAAGTTATGGCAGTTTTAAGTACAAAAAACATCCCGATAAAAGGTAATTTTTATCGCAAACATTACATTTTTTTTTAAATTTTCGACAGCCATTTGCACATAGAAGATAAGATGTCGGGACAAATTTTTTTTTTTCATTTGATAGTATATAACATAACCTTTAATTTGATATATGTTTAAAGGACGCAGTATTTCCGGAACATTTTCAAAAATTAAGTTGAAAAAGTTAGTTTTTGTAAAAAAGTTGCTACTTTAAATCTCCCCCAATGAGCAGGTTAAGTGTTAGATTTTCAAAAAAATGATATCAAATGAAAGGTAAATATTTAAGGTTTTAGTATAAAAAAAAATTATGTTGATTTGTTGATTTTTCAAAAAGTTATGGAAGTTTTAAGAAAAAAAAGTGAAAAAATTACGAAAATTAGCGATTTTTAAATTTGTAATTTTTTTGGATATTTCCCCCATTTGCGGGGAACAAGGGAATTTTTTTCAATTTTTAAGGGTAATGTCTTCAACTAGATACGATTTGTGATCTTTTGACGTATTTTTGAAAGAAATCGGTCCTATGAGAGCTGAGAAAAAGTGGCAACAGACATAAAAAAAAAAAAAACACATCATAGTAAAATTAATACCTTCTCCGCTTCGCATCGAAGCTAAAAATTGGCCATTTATAATTTTGTAAAACAATTTTATTAAAATGTTTTAATTTACTTATTTAACTTATGAATTTATGAGTATTAGTCATTAAAAATAAAACAATTTTTATTATTTCACATTAGAATCTTAATGAAAAAGAGAGTATTGATAATCTTGAAAATTCCTGAGTCTAGTTCTTCAGTACCATCTACATCCACAATGTCATCAGAAACTCTTGTTTCTACCCAATCTTCTTCATCAAATGCTTTTTTAGTTATGAAAGCTTCGAGTGGAAAGAGTAGACAAACTTCTGTTGTAGGTTATTTACTTAAAAAATTAACAGTAGATGCTAAAAAAATTGGATTAAACACTTTTAAAACTGTTTGTGAACAATTTTCAACCTTTTAAAATATTAGAAAATTCCGGTTTTAAACAATTTGTCAAGGCTCTAAATCCACATTATGAACTTCCAAATCGATATATAATATCAAAAGAGCATATACCAGCCATGTATGAAAAGTGTTTAGGAGAAATGAAAGTATTGACGGCAAATGTTGAAAGTGCTTGTTTAACCACTGATTGTTAGACATCCTGAAATAATGAAAGTTTTTTGGCTATTATAGTTTAAATTAACGTCTGTACTCCTAGGTTGTCATTCATTCAGCTCTAATCATACTGGATAATCTTGTATAAGAAATTAGATGAATTTTAGAATTATGGAATTTGAATGACAAAATTACATTTTCTGTGTCTGATAATGCAAGTAATATTAAACATGCTTTAAATATGTTAGGATTCAAAAACAGGGGGTGTTTTGTACATACATTGACTTTGATAGTCCAGTCGGTCCTCACTTAAGAAGAAGATCTAATAAACAAAGTAAAGCAAATTGTAAGTCACTTTAGAAGAAGTACAGTAGCTAATAACGCTTTCCCTAACCACCGTATTATCTGGATATGTGTTATCAACAAAAGGCGTAAAAACTACGACATAGTAAAAAATGAGACATGATAGGCCTATACAAGTAGTACTTGAAAGAATAATGCCAGGGAAAAAAGTAAGAAGAAGACCTAGAGTATATTTCATATCACAGATATGTGGAAAACTGACCTAAAATATGTTGATATTAAAAGGAAAATAGAAGACAGGAATGATTGGAGGAGAATTGTAGAAAGGTAACACCAGTCGGAAGACTGTGAAACCTGAAGAAGAGTAAAAAATAATAATTTTGTTCGAGTCTTTGAAAGATTATCTGGTTGTACGCTGTAGAACTGGTCATTACTGATATAAGCCAGTGAAACTGAAAATATTTTCAATAAATATTTGGTTAGTTATAATGAAAAACTTTGAACACGAATTGAATATTTCGAGAATTTATATAAATGATTTTCCTGTAACTTTGGTTACGATAAAAAACCTTAAATATTTTAAAAAAAAATTTTGGTAGTTTAATGTATTTTATTTTTTAAGCAGTTTGTTTTGCTGAGAATGTCAAACGATTTGGATTTTAGCATTACAGTCAACGAAATCACCGAAAAGGCGGCTGCCATACGTGATCCACAATTAGTTGTTATTATCGAAAAGTGGGTGGCCAAACTTGTGTCCGATCCACGTGGACTAAATGAACTCAATCATTTAAAACTCTTAAAGCATATGATATCTAATAATAGGATAGGGCCACCTTTTATACGGATGCCACCCGTTGGCAAGTTATTGCCTTTGAGCAGATATGTCAATCGACTTTGTAGTAGACCATTACCGTGGACACGATTTTCTGACACCGGCGATTGGAAAATTACTTCATACAGTAGAGCGGTACAAACGGCGAACGATGCCCAATTGTCGACAACGACATCTTTACCAAAAAGTGATGGTCATTTATCAGGAGGCGGTTGTTCATGTGGCGGTAAAACTAAAGTTCAACCACTACCTGTAAATGATAACGATGTGTGTAATCCGTGTTTGGACAGTGTACTGCAAAACGCAGAAAAGATGTGTTTAAATTTTGCAGACGATTACAAGGATTTACTGGATGAGTGTCTAATACCCATGTTCACCGATGCCGAACGTAAAGCAGCTGGAACAGAATTATTAGCCGTTTTAAAAAAAGTAAACTCTTCAACTACTCTTCAAGATTTTTATTTTCAGGTAGTACAAAAATTATTTAAATTACAAAAAAAATGTATAAAATAATACATTTTTAATGAGATAATTTAAATTTTAAATGCCTATACCTCTTAAAAAATGCCCAGGTATCACAATTAACATGTGATAAAGGGGAGATGCTCATGAAAGTTGCAAATAATATGATAGCTGATTTCGAAGTTTTTGTGGCTGATGTTTTTGAAAGTAGAGCACAACATATAAGCGATGGATTAGCAAAAGAACAGTTAGCCATTAATGAAAAGTACACATTCCTTTGTCGACGTACACTGAACCGAGCTACGATGGCAATGGATTATCTGAAGGCAGCGATACCAACGTTCAATTGGGAAAAGTATCAAGCTGATCCAAATATGTTTATGCATAAAGCGATAGCTACTCATTTCGAATTTGGAAGTAAAAGTGGACCAGCTGGAGATGACGAATTACAATCGCAGATGACTGATGAAGAAGACGATGATCCTCATCATACAACCAACAAAAAGTTGTTGTACAAGCTAAATTGGTTGCGCACTGAAGTTAATCGATCAGATTGTGAATGTCAAGCTATGTATGAACAACAAAAATGCTTAACAAATAGCTTGTCTGAATATAACGCTAAACTATCCTCTATCCAATGCAAATCTTCTGTTGAAATCGGACGACTTAAGGACGAACTGACGTTGCTAAGGCAACAGTCATCCAACCAATCCATTACCATAGACCGACTTATGGGAACAATACAATTGGCAATGAAAAATAAATCTGTTGAAGGCACAGTTAATAGCTCATGATTGTGTAATTTTTATTACATATAATCAGTCTTGGGTAGTATTCCAAATAATGAATTTTGAATACTCATACAGTATTTTGAGTACTACCTCATATATTTAAAAAAAATATTTATTTTCCTAATATTAAATCATGAAAAATATCATTTTTCTTGATTAAAATTGATAATAATTTTCATGTTCTAGGGAGATAATCAATTTTTCTGGTAATAACCTAAATATTTATATACATTAATTAGTGAACTTTTAGTGTATAGTTGACTAATAAATAATAGTACGATATGGTAGAAATTTTTAAAGCGTTAAATAACATTAACTTAGCGGCAATTAAAGTGGTAATATTATGATTTTTTTTATTGGATGCTTAGAGTTGTATGTAGTAGTTTAATCTACGGCGTTTTCGTCGAATCATGAAATTTACAATTTTTAAATGTAAGTAAGAGTCACTTAAATTAAAAATATTTTTATTTTCTAAATATCGATGTTGGCAAAATGGTTCTTGTAATTACTGGTATGTTGATTTAAATAGCGCCAGCTTATATAATACTTATTTCTTAATATTTCTTCAAATATGTTTCTATTAAAATATAAAATTAGTATCATTATAAGGAATAATATATGGACCTAATATATATATATATATATAATATGTTATTTATTAACTTGCAAAGCTTAGAACGTATTCATTTTACTATGATGTTTTTTTAATTTATGTCTGTCACCACTTTTTTCAGTTCTCCCTAAAAAAAGTTCTCCTTTATCAAAAAAAAAAGTTACTTAATCAATTTTCTCTATGATGACAATTAAAAATAGGTAAGTAGGTATGTGATGCTTATCAGTGGAGTATTTCGATAACATATATAAGCGCCTCCTTCTGTAAACAAGCAAAGATAATAATTCCTTTCACCCTTGTCCCACAAATTAGATTTAATATTTCTATATTTTTGAATAACTAATCAACTATATTTCAAATCCCTCCACACTATATTCAAAAATATCTAAACCAAAAAAAATAAAAGGGAAGGGGTATCGAATATAAAAAATTATCCTTTTTCTCAGACTATGTTGTTCGAGGGTCTATATTTGTTAACATTAATTTGCAAGCTGATTTTGAATGCTCTTACCTGAGTTTTTAGCTATCCTTCAGACGTACTGAATAATGATAGAAAAGAATGCAAAGTCAGTCAGTTTTTGATGAAAAAAATAATATATTTAATGTAACTTTATATATAATTATATAAAATAATTGTAATGATTGGAAGGTAATTACGTCACGTGAAATTTACGGAGAGATATTATTCTTAATTAATAAGCACAACCTTCAATATTAATAAATATACTTATAATTATTCTGCAGTGTTAAATTAATGTAGCTTGCGAAAATCAGGCGATGAAAGTGACGTGTTCGTATGAGAGTTCGATCGAAACTGGTCGAGTGCGTCCATCTCTGGGAATCTCCTGGTGTCCTCCTTGTAACCCATTCCAGAGACGCACATATTCATCATCCGGCTTTCATTTCCTTCCCATTTTTTAGGAATTTCATGATTTTTTTTACATTGAAAAAGGGTTCTTTGACTGAAAATAATAAATGGAAACATTTGATTTTCGAAGGGTGCACGTGCGGTGAAAAAGAAGAGCGGATGACTTTGGCGTAATTGTGTCAACCATGTGTTTTGATGTGTTTAAGAACAGAAAATATTGACTGTGTATAGTATTTGTTGTGAGAAGTATTGTGTAATAGGATAGAATCTTTGTTTGTGTTGAGAGATGAAAGGAAAGAGAAAGAAATAGTGTTTTTAAGTAAAGGGCGTATTACAAGAACAAGAAAACTGAATCACTCTTAGGTAACAAGAAAAATTTTTTTAGTATTTTAAACAATATAAATATTGAAAAATTCTCAAAAGATTTGGTAAGAACTTAAAATATTTCTATTTTTATGATTATAACATAATTTACATTTTTTTTAATAGTCTGAAGAAATATTCCCTGATATTTGTTTCATGGAAGATTATCCTGTTCAATACGAAAAAGAATCATCCCATAAATATTCCATAATCGATTGTGCTTAACATCCACTGTGAGCGAAAGATATGGTGATTATTTTATTTATAACACTTGTTATGTTAAAAAAAAAAAATTTGTATGTTGATTCGTTTGTTGAATCGATGAAGAATAATTATATTCTGGCTTACAACCGTGGAAAAATTCATCTATAGGGGAGAATTTGATTGAGGTAATTACTCAAGAAAAATAATGAATAATGTAAACTCTATGATGATGTCTCACTAAAATTCACAACCGTTAGAAAATTCAAGTATAAGGGATAGTCTGATGGAGTTAATTGCTCAAGATAAATTGGAGCATATTGTAAAATCTTTGGATGATGATAATAATAATGAAATAAAACGTAAGTAAAAATAATTTGAGCATTATAGTAACATATACTTAATAATAATAATAATAATAATGGTTGTAATAATAATTATAAATTTAAGAAACGGCACGTGTTGGAACAATGATTTTTACGATGAAAAAAGAGAAGTAAGAAATTAGCAGCAGATTTGATAACTCTCAAGGCGATGGAAGAGTATGAAAAAACAAAAATAAAAAATGTTTACAATGATAATTATTTATTTAAATAAATGTAAAAATAATAACATGATTTACAATTGTAAATTTTCACAAATTATAATATAAAAATTACCATTGTAAATATGTTGATTTTAAGTTACATAGATTAAACTACCTTGTGTACTTTACTAGTCATTGCGTTGTACTCTAAAATTTTATCGTGTAATATAAGACAATTTGCTGACGTATGGTTTGGTATAGAAATATTGGTTTCGAATTCAATTCGGACATCTACGGGAGCACTTTTAATTATTTCATTCTGTTTTGAGCAATCAGTTGCTCTCAGAGTAATCTTTGAATTCTTCTTTAGTTAAAATAGGATCACTATTATCAATATTGTAGAAACTATCTTGATATGTTGAATACATTTGATATAACGCTGAATATTTATCATTGTCAAAATCAATATTCAATCTGTTATATGGATAAAATTCTGAATTTAAAAAATTTTGAGTGATGATACAGAACAGTGATCGAATCGGCTCATATCTGCAGATATATTGTTTTTACGTGTAGTTTGAACGCTATAATCATATATCTAGGTTTTTCAGTACGTGTAGATGTCTTCATGGCATTTATATTTTAATGCATTAATATCCACGCTGGAACTATGCAATATAAGTTCTTGTCCAGAATTTATTATAATTTTTACATTTAAATTTTTTGTAACATCATTCACTGCTTTAATTATATTTACAGCAACACCGACTAACGATACGAGAGCAGAAAGACCGTCGAAAATAGAAATCAAGGGTAACGCTCCACCGAATTTTTGTATTTTTATAGTTGCAAGAGTAGTAGGTTTTCGGGTCGAATCATTGAATGTTTTTTAGCCGCTGCGAGTGCAATGATACTCGCTTTATTTGCAATTTTACCCTTCATTTTACGCATTGCTTTTCGACTCGAACTGACTAACAAGTTAAAATTTATTCCCATTACTAAGTTTCGCATTCATTATATTCGTTCCCAAGCTCGGTTTTGTAAAATTTAATTGGCTTTATGTTGATTTTTAATGATCTTATATTTGTTGTACGCTATATCGTGATCGCGAGCTGTTGAAGAAATCAACTGATTTTTACCGAAATCGCCACGAGATAATCGTATTTCCAATCGCATACCGGGTCTTAGGTATTAATAAGTTGGCCAATGAACTTCTACAGGGAGATTATTTATAGAGAATTAATTATACCGTAACCGCAATTATTGTTGTTTGATCGTCGATGTCGAATCATCGTTTAAAAATGCAGATGTTTTGCATCAAATTTTTATACGTGATGTTTTTTGAAGTGCAAACGTGTAAGTTACCTATTTCCAAAGTAGGGTAATATAGGGGATTTTGGTTCCCCCCGCTTCACCCACCCACCACACCTCAAGTGGTGTGGGTGAAGAGGTGTGGAGGGGGGAATAAATCCAACGTAAACTAACATAATGCAATAGGAGAGAGAACATCGAAACCCAACGTAAACTAACCTAAGGCAGGTGAGGAACCTCTCCTCTTCCACCAAGTCTTATGTAGGGGGGTAATGAAACACGACGTTAACTAACACAACTTGTCGCGCACCTAAATTATGCTCGGACATATAGTATATACGTAATATCGTTTTTTTTGACGAAAAAAAAAATGCATTTTCCAGGTAAGCTATACGGTTACGGTGAAAAGTATGAATTTTAAACGTCGAATCCGCTATTTTGATATGCGACATGCATATATTTAGATAAAGTCTGTACGTAAAATGTTAATTTTACCTAATTTGTAAAAAAAAAAATTAGTTCGAAACATTGTGTGCCAGATGGCTGTATTGATGATTACACTATAGCACTCGAGATAAATACAGCAGATGGCTTAACGCGGTGTCGATGTCGCCGTCAATTACATTAATTGTTAATATACGATCTATAAGTTTGACCGTTATTGGTATAGTGAATAATAAATCAGTATTTTTTTTTTTTGTCGACAATATATAATAATGACGACTGTTAGAGTTTTCTTATAGCAAAACACATTTTTAAATAAACACTACTACTACCGCCGCCGACGACGACGATAATAATTGCTGGAACATATATTCTAATGATTATAATATTATTATTATAATTGTAATACACTTATCGATTAATGTCATACATATTTTTGTCTGAATTATTACACGTATCCCTCTCAATGTTATAAATAATTACTGTATTTAACAACTTTAATTAATTATTTTTAATTAAGTAATAGTCTCGACTGGACGGATTGCATTCTTGTTCCGTCAACGCATTTGAGACGGCAGAAGGTCATAATTTTTACAAAGGCAGCTGTTTTAAATCCTAATGACAAATATGTATAAACGTTACACATTACATTACACTGAATTTTTTCACGCTATTATAAATAACGATTCAATTTATCAACACTGGTGCTGCGGATAATACAGTAACAAACCGTATTTATAAAGACGTTACTAAAGATTTTATTCACTCTTTGATTAAGCATTAATAACGGCTCGCTAAAACATTGCTTAAAAATATTCTGTTAAATGTATACAAGTACTAGTATTTTTTTTATTTAAATTTAAAATCGAATAACAATGGCTGATGTACATTTTACTGGTGCTGCACAAGGTAAGTTTTTATATTTTTGATTGAATATTTCGATATTTTCGATACACAAATTGTTTTATACACATTTTTTCATAGCCACCTCTTCCACGATTGTTCTACACCATCATTCGATTAAACGTAAGGCTAACAACAGTAGGGTAAAATCGAAAAGGTTGTGTATACAATTGCCGGACGCGAAAAATTTCATCGAGATTGATTCCGCATTGGAGAGGGGAGTCGTTTGGTTTTATCGGAAAAACGTGAAAAATTTCGCGAGCTATCGAGATTTTCTACGTATTGTTAAATCTGAGCTGGTTGCCAAACTCGATGGAATCGCAGCTGTTCAAATTGGAGGCTTCTTACGATATATCGCGATCGGAAGCACCGCCCAAGGACTGTGCCTTCAAGACACGGGCTAGAGTGTTGTTGTCCGACACGGACATTGTAGGTGCGGTCAATGACGATTTCGAGATTATGCTCGCTGAGGGAGACGTATACTCAGGTAGGGATAGCGGATTCACGCTAGCGCATATCGACAGACTCATGCTCAGCGTATACAAGTATACGACCCTCGCCGGCTCATCATATATTCTAGTCCCACCCGAAATTTTCCATAGAAGAGCAATCATCAACCCACAAAACATCGATCAGTCCTGTTTCAAGCGGCCATTTTGGGGAGACACGTTGGGGTTAATAATAATACGCGTGTTAATCAAAAATATTTTAACGAGGAACACAGGTATGATTTCACAGGATTGACGTCCCCCACACCTGTGTCCCAAATTAAAATATTTGAACGGCTTAACCCTAACGTGTCCGTCAGCGTGTACGGCTTGGAACGGGACGACGTTAAGATGAAGTGGTCGGTGTATCCATTAAGAGTCACCGACCAAGAACAACAAAATCATTTTGACCTGTTGTATATCGGTGACTCTGACAAGTATCATTACGCGTACATTTCAGATTTTTCGAGGCTCGTGCGCAGCCAAAAAACTAAACACAAATGTCGCATATACACTTGCAGACGTTGCTTCACTAGCTTTGATGATCAACCTAAGAAACATATTCTTCGAGGTCAACAAGCGTTGGAGCAACTCAAGTTAATATGCGGCAAGAATAAACCAATTTTTCCTGTTATGCCGGCAGAGGGTAGTAAGGTCGCCTTTGACGCGTGGGTAAAGACGCAACTGTTACCGTTTGGCATTTACGCTGATTTTGAGGCCTTGCTGGAGCAAACAGACAATCGTATAGGTGCCTATACTAGGACTGTGCACACACACCATCCTATGAGCTACGGGTTCATGGTAAAAACATCGGACGTTGTGCCCTCCAAGCTCCTCGAACTCTACAGTATACCGCAATCACCGGTAATATACCGTGACTCTGAGGATCGCGAANATATACCGTGGCTCTGAGGATCGCGAAGAGGTCGCCAAGGCATTCGTAATGGCTGTAACGGAAGTGACGCGCAACATTTCCAAATTGTTGCGTAAAACTAACGTTCCCATCCGAATGTCTGTCGATGATGTGCGCAGGCATGGGGAAAAAATGCTATGCGACTTATGTCGCACGGCATTCAAGGATTCCAACCCCAAAGTCGCAGACCACTGCCATCTATCGGGCCGATTCAGATAGACGTTGTGCAATGCGTGTAACCTGAAAGTGAAGACTGTTAACTTTATGTCGTGCTTCTTGCACAATCTTTCGGGTTACGACNAAGACGGTCAATTTTGTGCCGTGCTTCTTGCACAATCTTTCGGGTTACGACGCGCATTTCATCGTCACTGAATTGGGGTACGACGACCAAAGGATTTCGGTCATACCGAATTCCGAGGAGAAGTATATTTCGGTCACGAAACACGTGACCAATAACTTCTCCATACGGTTTGTCGACACCTTCCGGTTCATGGCCTCCTCCCTGTCCACCTTGGCCGGTAACCTAATGACACCCGATTTCGTTAAATTCCGGGAAACGGCCAAGGTGTTCCGCCCGGAAGATGTGCCGTTGGTTACGCGTAAAGGCGTATACCCTTATGAGTACACTGATAGTTGGGCTAAATTGGACGAAACGATACTACCACCCCGCGACGCTTCCTATAGTCAGTTGAATGAGACGAATATCGATGACGACGACTATAGACACGCCACAGAGGTGTGGAACCGTTTCAGCTGCTTAACCCTCGGTGAGTACAGCGACCTATACCTAAAGATCGACGTGCTGTTGTTGGCTGACGTTTTTGAGAATTTTGCGACATTTGTACTATAACATACAATTTAGACCCGGCACACTATTATACCGCACCGGGTTTTAGCTTCGATTGTATGTTGAAGTACACCAGGGCGAAGCTGGAGCTCTTAAACGACTACGACATGCTACTGATGGTGGAACAGGGTATTCGTGGTGGGCTGGTGCAGGCCGTCAATCACTATGCCAAGGCTAATAATCCAAAGACACCGGATTACGATTCGACAAAACCAGACTCATGGATCGTCTACCAAGACTGTAAGTATTATATATAAGTGTAATAAATGAGAGATAATTAAAGAAAGTTAAAAATAATTACAGGCAATAACCTGTACGGTTGGGCTATGAGTCAGCCCATGCCGTACGGAGGCTTCCGGTGGTATGAAGGAGCAGATCCTCTGACCGACCTTCAATTGCTTCCGGACACTGGTAATACGGGGCGTATATATGAAGTGGATGTATCGTATCCAGAAGAGCTGCATGACGAGCACAACGACTTGCCGTTCTTGCCTGGCAACGATGTACCACCGGGTTCCAAAGAGACCAAACTCATGGCCACTTTGAAACCCAAACAACGGTACGTTGTACACTATGTCAACTTGAAACAGGCGATTGCACACGGACTGCAAGTCGATAAAGTATATACATCGTACCTAGAGCTATTAGTTATGATATTAATATGCTTGTCACACAGGTGCACCGCGTTTTAGAGTTTCAATAAAGTGCTTGGTTGAAACCGTACATTGAGTTGAACACTGAAATGCGGAAACAGGCGGCAAATGCTTTTGAAATAGCATTTTTCAAATTAATGAATAATGCCGTCTTTGGTAAGTGCACGCTCTTGTTGCACTAACAGTTGTGGGTTATTCGATAAACATTTACATTTTATTGGGAAAACCATGGAGAACATGCGGAAACGCATCCGTATTGAGCTAATCTCCAGTCCCGAACGTCTAAGCAAGCTCGTAAACCAACCAAACTTCAACGACTGTATCAAATACGATGAAAGCTTGTGCGCCTTCATAATGGACACAAAGATTGTCAAGTTTATCAAACCAATATACGTCGGTTAAGCAGTGCTTGACATTAGCAAGTCGCTAATGTACAAGTACTTCTACGACGTATTAAAACCTCATTATGGTGACGCAATCAGCCTGGTTTACATGGATACTGGTGAGTACAACCGTACAGCAGAAATATTTTTACTATATTTATATATTTTTAATTTTTTTTTTCAGACTCCTTCATATACCTGCTCAGAGTCAGAGACTTTTACCAGGATTTAGCCGACAGTCCTGATTTACTAGTGCACGTGGACGCATCTAGCCTGCCCAAGGTTCACCCTAGTTACTCGACCTCGAGGAAGAAGACGCCTGGTCTGTTTTCAGACGAGACCGGCGGCCTCGCCCTTTTTGAGATCGCTGCACTTCGTTCAAAGTGCTATGCATTTGACATGGAAGGCAGCGAACTCATCAAGTCTAAGGGGATCCGCGGACACGTCATCCGCAACCATCTGTCTTTGGACGATTACAAACGATGTTTGTTTGAAGACGATAACGATGGCGACGATGCGTCAAAACGAGCATTGGCCAGAGAGAATGCCCGTGTAGTCATCGGAGCCGTACGTGATGGTGAGATTCTACCGACATTATCATTACCGTACACTCCGTACCGACAGAACGTGTCAATTCGTTCTTTCGAGCACGAGGTACGCACTTTAAGTACAACCAAGTTGACGCTAACCGTTAACCGTTTCGACGATAAGCGCTACACGCTCGACAACAGAGTTGACACGCTGGCTTACGGTCATTATGCCATTCCACCGGAAGAAATTTGATCAACATTATTTTTTATAATAGTAATAAGATTGTAAAATTCTTTAAATATCCATTATGACAAATGTAAAATATATTGTATGCTTAATCGTGTAATTGAATTTTATGATAAGGTTTTTTGTAAATATAAGTGTTGTATATATAGTTGTAAATATAGTTTTAAGATTTTTTAATGTAATATTTTACTGAATTAAAATTGTAAATAAATGTAATTTAGAATTCATATTATAATAAATGGTTAATAAATATCTATTTTTATAATTAAAACAAAAATATTTACCCATTTTGTATTTTGATAATACCAGATTATTAAACAATAGGTATTAATAACCTATAGTAAGTACTATTCGTATTTTAGAAATATAAATATTTTATTTTAGTATAATCATTAATATACATTTTATGTATATTGTATTTTATGTATATATCTCCTGGAGGGTGTCACCCACAGCCTCAGNGCCGATCGCCCCTCTCCTGGAGGGTGTCGCCCACAGCCTGCGGGGCAGACGTTCCTCGGGTCTGCGGGGTGGCAGGGACGAACTCGTCGCCGGGGACTTTAACGCTAAGTCCCCGGTATGGGGATCCGCTTCGGCGGACCGGCGTGGCGACGAACTGTTGGACGTCATGGCGGCCTTAGGGCTGTCGACGGCCAACAGGGGAACCACCCCGACGTTCGTGGGTAACACCTCGAGCTCGGTGGTGGACGTCATGTTGGCGTCGCCGTCGGTCCTCGGACGTATTGCCGGCTGGTCCGTTCTCTCCCACGTGGAGCACATGAGCGACCACCGGTACATTACGTTCGAGTGCACCGACGGCAGGCGTCCTCGGACGAGGCCGGACCTGCAGCCTCGCGGCGCTCGCGTCGGCTGGAGAGTCGGCCCGGAGTCGGACGCCGATCTATTCGCGGCCGGTCTTCTGATCGCCCGAGCGACGGCGCCCACTCCGCCCGATCGACTGGTCTCCGCGGGCGAGGTGGCGGAAGAGCTGGACAGGAGAGTCGAAGTCGCTTGCGACTTTGCACTACCCAGAAAGCGTCCGCCACCTACCTAAACGTTCCTCCTAGGCTCACCGTACTGGGGACTGATGTCCCGCTGAAGCGGGCCATGAGCTATCTGGGCCTGCTCATCGACGACAGGTTGATGTTCGGGCCGCACATCGAACGTGCGGCCCAGCGGGCTCAGAAGGTCATGGACCGCCTGGCGGGACTGATGCCGAATATCGGGGGACCGAGGGACCATCGACGCCGACTGTTAGTCAGCGTCGTTCATTCGGTCCTCCTTTACGGGTCCCCGGTCTGGGCGAGTATACTGGAGTACTCGCCCAAGAACGCGGAAGTGCTGAACCGGGTCCAGAGAAGGGCCGCTCTCCGGACGGTGTGCGCATACCGCACCGTATCCGGAGTGGTGGCCAGGATCCTGGCTTCTCTGCCGCCCGCGGACCTGTTGGCCATCGAACGCGCTAACGGATACGAGCTCCGGAAGAATACCGGTCAACCGCTTAGCGCGGAGGACCGGCTGCAACTCCGGAGCGTAACCATGTCCAGTTGGCGCCAACGACTGGCCGACGAGGAATCCGCGGGAGCGTGGACGAGGTCCCTTATCGGACCCAGCCGGCTCGACAGGTGGATTGGCCGGACTCACGGGAAGATGACATACCGTCTGACCCAAGTGATGTCCGGTCACGGCTGCTTCAACGAATACCTTCACGGTATTCGGAAGGCAGCCGCGCCGACGTGCGATCACTGTCGGGATCGCCCGGGAGAAGCGGACAATGCTCTGCATACGCTCTTCCGGTGTGAAGCGTGGGCCAACGAGCGGGAGGACTTGGAATCCCGCTTGGGGTCCGCGTTCGGCGTGGGGTCCATGGTGGACCATATGCTGAGAAGCCGAGAGGGGTGGTCTCTGGTTCAGGCGTTCGCCGAATCGGTGATGAGCCAAAAAGAGGAGGCCGAACGTCTGAGGCAGAGACTGCCCAGGGTGAGAGTACCTGCGGCGTCGGCTAGACTGGCGCCGTAGGTGCTTATTGCATGCGTTTTATGTTTTGTGTTTATGTTATGTATGTTTGTGATTTATTAAGCCAACCTTCGCGAAGTCCTGCCCCCACCTCCACGTGGTGCAACCCAGGCAACGGATCCCGACTTTTGGGATCCGGCTAACGGGAGAGGCCACACCACGTTGTGAATCAGATCTTGATTAATTTCGGGCTCATTCACAACGTGGTGGTGTGAATTTTTTAGACGGCGTGGGCCGCTCTGAAGCAATATCTCACGGTAGTTCCAGGGCGGTCCACAGCATGCCGGCGGTGAAGGAAAAAAAAAAATAAGGATTTATTCCCCCCCTCCACACATCTTCACCTACACCACATGTAGTGTGGTGGGTGGGTGAAGCGGGGGGAACCAAAATCCCCTATATTACCCTACTTTCCAACATCAATTTAAATAAATCTGAATCGAAACGAATGAAAAACATATACCTATATACAAAAACTCAGGATCAACGCAAGTATATAATTTTAGAGAATATTATCAATAATGTATGTTATCATAAAATTATACATTGGAAGGGCTGTTCACCGACAGGTGAACAGTACAGTTAGTCAGTAGCGCTCCGTTTAGTGCGGTTGTAGTAGTGTGTGTAATTAAAATTAGTTTCATTAAATTAGTCTGTGCATTTGGTGAAATGTTTTTTTTTTTGTGTTTACTTTTGTTATTCAATTACTGAATAAATATATTTTGTATTTAATATGTAGAAGGGGTAAATAAAAACGTTTACACCAAATTTATTGTAACCTAATTTTTATAATAAAGCACGTTTTTGCCCAGTGTCCAGGAACTTTTTTGACATACCTCGTATATTGGAATATAAAAATAGTTCATTAAGATGTATTAATTTATCATCAGCTCAACTCATAATTAATCGGAGGTTAAAGACTAGAGTATCAGTTTGTATAAAATTGTTAACACCTGAAATATAATTTAGAGTTGATACACAAATTATTAATAAATAAGCAAGAAAAATAAAAGTATTCTTATGATAGAACAGCTAAAGAAAGGGACTATAATTTAATAAAAAATGCTAAGGAATTATATGTTTTTTATAACGGTAGTTGGAAAAAAGCATTAAATATGGGGGAAGCTGATACATATATTTTTAATATCTATACGAACGATTAACCGATCACTCCAGGAGCAAGAAATTTCATCTATGCCGACGATACAGCGCTAGCAGTTCAAGATAACAACTTTGATGGAGTAGAAACTAAACTAGAGGCCTCACTTAAAACCATGACAACATACTACAAAAACATGAAGCTAAAACCTAAACCAACGAAGACTCAAATATGTGCGTTCCATCTGAAGAACAGATTAGCGTCTAGAAAGCTGGACATCACCTGTAAAGGAGTTAAGTTAGAACACACACCCAATCCTAAATATCTAGGCGTTACCCTTGATAGATCAGTCACTTTTAAAGAACATTGTGTTGCCTTAAAACGGAAAATATGTGCTAAAAACACTCTATTGCGAAAACTAGTTAGCTCAAAGTGGGAAGCTCATCCCGAAACAGTCAGAATCTCTGCACTAGCTCTATGTTTCTAGGTGGCTGAATATGCATGCCCGATGTGGGAAAGATCAACACACACTAAACGAATTGATACTGTATTAAATGAAACTTACGCATTATAACAGGCTGCTTAAAGCCAACACCAGTAGACAAACTATATCCTCTAACAGGAATAGTGCCACCACATATACGCAGACAAATTGCTCAGACATAGAACGGACGAAACAGATCACTGATGAAAGGCACCCAATGTATAACACACAGGTTGAAGGTTTCCGACTAAAATCAAGAAAGAGCTTCCTTAAATGCACGAAGAAATTAGAAGGTAATTGTTCGGGTGAACGTTCAAGTTGGTCATACTGACAGTGTATCAGCTGCTGATAACATTCCACTCATCGGACGCTTGGCCGTTGCGGTTTTGTATTTTTATTCTCTCGATCTACGTCGCCTTATGACCTTTTGTTGTGTAATAATTCTTTCGTTCTCGTCGTCAAATAAACGCTATTACCCTTAACCTCACTTTTATAACTTTATTGTGTAATTGAAAGTTTGTTTTTTTGTATTCTGTATTCACTTATTAATTGCTCATTTGAACAAGCAGTGCTTTAGATAAAACACCAAGCTTGTACTAATTAATTTGGTAATAAACTTAATTATTTAACTTAATATTGCTATTTAGACACCTCGTGGTTTGCACATTAGCCTAAATTGGCCTATAGTTCTTAGATGTCATTTGCATTTAAACTTGGGCTAACTTTCCTCTATGCTTGTTTTTTAATAACAAAATCACTTATTAGACCATTCTCATGAAATTGTAAATTTGCAAACCACCTGGTTCATTGTTCAGTTTGGATAAAATTTACAACTTTATCCAATCTAATATTGTATTTATCTCGGCTAGTAATTTAATATGTACTTATAATAGCGTTTTGGCTTTTGAACTTAATATTTGCTCATTATTGACACACATGATTTGTACATTCATTCACGTTGCTGTACATAGCAAATCTAATCCATAAGTCCATTTGATTTCAAATTACTTAAATCTTTGAACTGCTAACTCAAGATTGTATCCTAGTTGACTGTTTATTGTTCAGTTAATTATATGCTTGTTCAGTTATTTAAAATTTTTAATTTAATTGACCACTGGCCACTGTAATGTTAAGATCAATTCTTTTGTTTCCATTGAACTCTAAGTTATTGTCCAGTTGTTGTTATTGCCTCATAATTAGTTTATAA